CGCTTTTAGGGTCTCCTAAAAAGAAATCAAAAGAGCTATGCTCTGAATCTCACATTTCACCCAAGTGAGAGAAGGAATCCGGAGTTCTGACCTCTGTCGACAATCGAGAATCAGGGACGCTGTCTCGTTTGCCAAGGTGCCGAAAATCAGATGAGCCGGACACGTAATGCAATTCAGAGATGAACGCTGGACTAGAGCTGTTACCAACTGTATTCCACAGGACGTCAAAAGATCGCGTGGCCGCCCACCTACAAGATGGTCAGACTTCTTCGTCAAAACCCTGAACGACTGGTTTGAGGCTCTTCGTGTTCCTGGAGCGAGCAGATGCCACTAGGCTACACTAGCTTGCAACAGTGATGAATGGAGACGCTACTGGCGTCCCCTCAAGCAGATCAATGAGCAACGGGATGACAAGTGATACGAATGATACCATGCTGTTTTTTTTTTCCTTTTTTTATTAGTGAAACACCATGAGGTACAGTTATAGGCTTACAAATTTTGTGCTCGGGTTTCAGTTATACAATGATCAAGTGCCCATCCCTCCACCAGTGCCCGTCATCCATCACCACAGGTCCCAGCATCCCCCCAACCCCCCATCCCCCCCCCCCCATCCCATCTGCCTGTGTGGCAGGGTATTCACCCTTGTTCTCTCTCTCTTCTTTTGGGTACTGTGTTTTGCAAGAGAGGCATTGAGTGCCAATCATGTTTGGTCTATAGACTGCTTTTAGCATGCTTCTCCCACCCTGGGAGGGTCCTCACAACACCCTTCATTTGGTGCTCTCTTCTCTATCTGAGCTTCCTTTTCACCTAGAACGTGTGGCTGGCCTTCCATTCATGGAGCAAAATTCCTGGTACTAATCTCAGCCATTCCTGGGTGTTAGTCTCCCTTTTTATTGCTTTATGTTCCCCAGATGAATGCAATCTTTCTGTGTCTATCCCGCTCTTTCTGACTCATTTCGTTTAACATGATACTTTCCATGTAGTACCACTTGTATGTAAATTCCATAACTTCATCTTTTCTAACAGCTACATAGTACTCCATTGTGTAAATGTGCCAAAGTTTCTTTAACCAGTCATCTGCTCTTGGGCACTCAGGTTTTTTCCAGATTCTGGCTATTGTAAAGAGTGCTGCAATGAACAAACAATTGCAGATGTCACTTCGACTATACCTTTTTGATTCCCAGGAGTGCTATAGCTGGGTCAAATGGCAGATCAAATTCTAATTTTTTGAGAGTCGTCCATACTGTTTTCCAAAAGGGTTGGACCAGCCGGCATTCCCACCAACAGTGAAGGAGGGTCCCTTTCTCGCCACATCCGCACCAACACCAGTTGCTTTTGTTCTTGTGGATGTGGGCCAGTCTCTGTGGTGTGAAATGATATCTCATTGTGGTTTTAATCTGCATCTCTCTGATGATTAGTGATGTAGAGCATTTTCTCATGTGCTTTTTTGCCATTCGAATTTCTTCTTTGAGAAAGTTTCTGTTCATTTCCTCACCCCATTTTTTGATGGTGTTGGGTGATTTCTTCTTGTGGAGTTTAACCAGTACCTTGTATATCCTTGATATCAACCCCTTGTCGGATGTGTATTTGGTGAATATCGTTTCCCATTCTGTAGGCTGTCTTTGTATTTTGGTCACTGTTTCTTTTGAGGTGCAGAAGCTTCTTAGTTTAAGATAGTCCCATTTGTCTATCTCTGTTTTCACTTGCTCGGCCAGTGGCGTGACATCTTTGAAGATACCATTAGCTTCAATATCATGGAGAGTTTTGCTGACTTTGTCTTCAATAAACATTATGGATTCTGGTCTGATGTTAAGGTCATAAATCCATTTTGATCTTACTTTTGTGCATGGTGTTAGGCAGAGATCTGAGCCCACTTTTTTGCATGTAGCCGTCCAATTTTGCCAGAACAGTTTATTAAAGAGTCTTTCCCTGCTCCATTTCACTTTTCTTGCCCCCTTATCAAAGATTAGATGATTATATGTTTGGGAGGAAATGTCAGCATATTCAACTCTGTTCCATTGGTCTGCAGCTCTGCTTTTGTTCCAGTACCATGCTGTTTTAATTATTACTGCCTTGTAGTAGAGTTTGAAGTTAGGGAGGTTGATTCCTCCCATTTTCTTTTTCCCAAGAATTGCTTTAGCTATTCGTGGGGGCTTATTGTTCCATATAAATTTCAGGAGTGTTTGCTCCATTTCTTTGAAGTATGTCATGGGTATCCTTATAGGGATTGCATTGAATTTGTACAGTGCTTTGGGAAGTATTGCCGTTTTGATGATGTTGATTCTCCCCATCCATGAACAGGAGATATTTTTCCATTTCCTCGTGTCCTCTTTTATTTCCTGAAGTAGCGTTTTGTAGTTAATTACTACCACTTTGTAATACAGCTTGAAGTTGGGGAAGTGGATGCCTCCAATCTTCCTTTTTCCAGGATTTCTTTAGCAATTCATGTTTCATTGTTCCATAAGAATTTCAAGAGCGTTTGATCTCTTTCTTTGCAAGCTACCCATTACGTGTTCGATATGACAAACACAGTAACAACAAGTCTCACAATGGAGATGTTACTGGGCCCGCTCGAGCAAATTGATAAACAACGGGAAGACAGTGCTACAGTGTAGTGCTACATCATGGGTATCCTTGTATGAACCGCAATGAATCTGTATAATGCTTTTAGATTGCCATTTTGACAATGTTAATTCTCTCAGACTATGAGGAGTCTGGAATCCCAAAAAAATACCCCAAAAGATCAATGAAATGAAGAGCTCATTCTTTTAAAAATAAACAAGATCAAGATCTGTTACCGACTGGATTGCACAGGACGTCAAAAGATCGCATGGGGGGGGGAGGGATACTGGGATCCGTGGTGGTGGGAAATGGGCATTGGTGTAGGGATGGGTATTTATCATTGTAAAATTGAAACCCAAGCACAAAAATGTGTAAATCTGCAACTGTACCTCATGATGTCTCACTATTAAAATTTTTTTTAAAAAAGAAAGAAAAATAAATAAAGTTGCGTTTATTACATAAAAAAAAAAAAGATCGCGTGGCCGCCCACCTACGAGATGGTCAGACTTCTTCGTCAAAACCCTGAATGAATGGTTTGAGGCTCTTCGTCTTCCTGAAGCAACATTAGGAAGATTCACAAAGAGAGAGCGATCTCTAATAAACCAATCAGAAATGAAAAGGGGGACGTCACAACAGAAACCATAAAAATTCAAAAGATCATCAGAGATTACTTTGAGAGTCTGTATGCCACAAAATAAGAGAACCTTTAAGAAATGGATAAATCCTGGATTCCTATAACCTCCTACAGCTGAACCAAGAAGACTTGGAATACCTGAACAGACCTAACACTATTGAGGACATGAAAGGATAATCAAAATTCTTCCCAAAATACAAAAGCCCAGATCCATATGGATTCACTAGTGAAATCTTCCAAACCTTTAAAGAGGACCTACTGCCAATCCTTTTCAAGCTTTTCCAGGAAATTCACAGAACAAAAACACTCCCAGTTTCTAGAAGGCAAACATCACCCTGATACTAAAACCAGACAGACACCAGAAAAAAAGAGAATTACAGGCTGATTTCCCTGTTGAACACAGACGCAAAGATCCTCAACAAAATACTAGTAAATAGAATCCAATGACTCATAAAAAAGATCATACATCATGATTAAGTAGGATTCATCCCGGGGATGCAAGGATGGTTCAACATTCGCAAATCAATCAACATAATACATCGTATCAATAAAATAAAAAATAAAAATTATATGATCATATCAATAGATGCAGAGAAAGCATTTGACAAAATTCAACACTCATTCATGATAAAGACTCTCAACAAAATGGAAGTTGGAGGAACTTTCCTCAATAGATTCAAAGGTATCTAGAACAAGCCTACAACAAGCATTATCCTCAATGGGTAAACCCCAAAACCTTCCCTCTAAGATCAGGTAAAAGACAAGAGCGCCCACTCTCACCACTCCCAGTCAATATAGTACTGGAAGTACTTGCCATAGCAGTTAGATAACAAAAAGATTTCAAGGGCACGAAAAAGAAGAAGTCAAGCTCTCACTATTTACAGAAGACACGATACTATAATTAGCAAACCCTAAATTCTATCCTAAAAAGCCTCTGTCACTGTCATCATCACTCTCATCCTGTTGTTCATCGAGTTGCTTGAACGGGCACCAGTAATGTCTCCATTCATCCCAGTCCTGAGATTTTAGCAGCCTCTCCTTACTTGTCCTTCACAACGCTGCCATATTGGAGGCTCTTTCAGGGTCAGGGGAATGAGGCTCGTTATTGTTACTGTTTTTTGCATATTGAATACGCCATGGTTAGCTTGCCAGGCTCTACCATGCAGGAGGGATAGTCTCGGTAGCTTGCCAGGCTCTCCGAGAGGAAATAATAGAGTAGCAGGTTACAATATCAATACCCAGAAGGCCATGTTTTTCCTATATGCAAATGATGAAAGAGAAGAAAGAAATATTGTAAAACAATCTCTTCACATTTATGCCTCAGAAAATCAAGTACTTCAGAATTAGTTTAACCAAAGAGGTAAGGGACCTATACAAAGAAAACTAAAAAATGCTACTTCTTGAAATAAAAGAGGACACGATAAAAGTTTTATTTAAATTGGCAGTTTTAAAATGCGTTTTCCTCCCCAGATTCCTGAACAGGGCTGGAGCGATAGCACAGCGGGTAGGGCGTTTGCCTTACAAGCGGCCAACATGGCCGACCCGAGTTCGATTCCTCCGCCCCTCTCGGAGAGCCCGGCAAGCTACCGAGAGTATTCGATATGCCAGACATAGTAACAACAAAGTCTCCAATGGAGACGTTACTGGGCCCGCTCGAGCAAATCGACGATCAACGGGAGGGCCTTTACCTTTACCTTACCTTACCTTATAACCACTTCCTTGAGACAATAACAATCCACTTGTCAAGAACCAAATTAAGTGAATCTCTTTCTGCAACCCAAAATTCAGAGTGTAGCTCACAAACCTTCATCAAATACAGCAAAAAGCAGTACAAATTGGTGCAAAGGCTGCATCCTTTCTTCTGACAGGGTCCCTGAAAAAGAAACAAGAGCATATGTCGCCATTAGAAAAATGGGCACTAGGGGGTGACATTACTCCACTGAGCCTTTGTGACTAACCTTGACCACATGGATTCTTTGCTGTCTGTGATGCTAAAACTACCTGAACTTGGGTTATTTCAAATTTGCTGCAGATCATTACTTGTGAAAAATACCATTAGAAAAGAATTACTAGGGGCTGGAGAGATAATACAGCGGGAAGGGCTCTTTCCATGCTTGGGGCCAACCCAGGTTCAATCCTCAGCATCCCATATGGTCCCCGGAGCAACACCAGGACTGGTTCCTGAGTACAGAGCCAGGAGTAATCCCTGAGTACCACGGGGTGTACCCCCAAAATTAAAAACAAAGAAATAAAAAAAGAATAGAAAAATGAAAGTAAAGGAAAACTATAAGCCCTTATATCACATTTTCATATACATCTATAGCCAAAGCTCTGTAAACATGCATTTGAAACAAGCAAAGAAAAGGAAAAAGTGCAAAACGATAGACACTGTTCACAGAAACAGTAAGTAGGTTTTACTATGGCTACTTAGTTAATTCCACCCAGGAATGGAACTCTAGTGGATTTTTTTGGTGCTCAGGATTGCTTCTAGAAGTGCTCGGGACAACACTTTTGGGTGCTGGTAATAGAACCAGGCCTCCCTCAATCAAAGCATGCATCTAGTTCTTCGAGCTCTCTCACTGGCTCTGTAGTGAATTTTTAAAATTTTTTAAATTTTTATTAGTGAGACACCATGAGGTACAGTTGTAGACTTACAAATTTTGTGCTTGGGTTTCAATTATACAATGATCAAATACCCATCCCTCCACCAGTGCCCATTTTCCACCACCACGGATCCCAGTATCCCTCCCACCCCCATCTCCCCATCCCACCCTGCCTCTATGGCAGGGCATTTCCCTTTGTTCTCTCTCTCCTTTTGGGTGTTGTGGTTTGCAAAACAGGCATTGAGTGGCAATCATGTTTGGTCTATAGTCTACTTTCAGCATGCTTCTCCCATCCTGGGAGGATCTTCCCAACACCCTTTGCAGCACTCTTTACAATAGCCAGAATCTGGAAAAAATCTGAGTGCCGAGAACAGATGACTGGTTAAAGAAACTTTGGTACATCTACACAATGGAGTACTATGTAGCAGTTAGAAAAGACGAAGTCATGAAATTTACATGCAAGTGGTACTACATGGAAAGTATCATGTTAAGCAAAATGAGTCAGAAAGAGAGGGATAGACATAGAAAGATTGCACTCATCTGGGGAACATAAAAGAACAAAATAGGAGACTAACACCCATGAATGGCCGAGATTAGTACCAGGAATTTTGCTCCATGGCTTGGAGGCGAGCCACACATGCTAGGGGAAAAGGCAGCTCAGATAGAAAAGGGAGCATCTGTAGTGGATTTTTAAAGTAAAAACAACTTTCTACAATTCTGATATCAATTACAGTGTGTAGAATTTCTACCCTATAACCAAATAATTTTGAAATATCCAGAGTGTCCTGTAAGTGAACTCAATTTTGACACTATCTCCGCCAACTAAGAACTCAGTTCAATCCTGACCATGGACGTACCAAAGGCTTGTTGAACATGTCTTATATGCACAAGACCTCGAGACCGATCCCACGCACTGCCTGGCTCCCACTGCCACTGGGTATAGCCCTTGATGATTGCCAGGGGGTTCCTCTCTGAAAATAAACAACCTAAATAATGAAAACCTTAGAGCTTAGTCCTTCAAGACTGTTACCTCTACCACCTCAGACTTCAACCACAAGTACTGTTTGTTACCTGTGCAACTGGCTCTGATCAGAGATTCCCATGAACTTCTACTCAGGTTTGATGAATTTGCTGGAATGACTCACAGAGCTCACAAAAGCATTGGATTTACTCAATTACAAGTTTGTTATAAAATTATGCCATTTGCGATCAAATGTGAGAGATGCTCAGTCAAAGTGTGGGACGAGAACATGAAATGGCCATGGCCTCTCCAGTGCACCATTCTTCCCAAATCTCTGCAATTCTACCCAGAAGATGTCCTAATCCCACCTCTGGGGGGTGGGGTTCTGCAGACTCTGTCACAGAAAAATAGTTGCTTAAATCCTTGGCCTTGTTAATTAAACTTAATTTTCAGCCCCACCCCTCTCTCCTGGTCAGCACTACTGCAGCCAGCCCATGCTTAGGTGCTTTCAAGCAATCAGCCCATGAATGTGCCAAGAGAAACTTTTAGTCTCCTCATCATGGGGAATTCCAAGGCTTTTAGGAGCTCTGTGCCAGGAACCAAGTGTAAGTGAGAAATCATGAGAGACTCCATCTTGTTCCTACACATACACCTTTCATAAGCATCTCTGTCCCAGGTCTTTGCCCTGCCCCTCAGTCCTAAGAGATGTTCTCATTGTCAGCGTTCGACGTTGAACCAGGTCCAGTGAGAGGCGGAGGGAGGGAGGTGAGAAAACAAAAGGCCTCTGAGAACACGCAGAGCCTTATCAAGTCCAAGGACTCCTGTAGCCCTTGGAGCAGAGTCAACAGCAGTTCGTGGAAGGAGTCTTAAGGATTATCGTGGGGACTCTGGGAACGGAGGAGTAATGCCTGACCGTGGCACAGGCACAGAGCACCCTCCTCCAAGCATCCCACCGACGTCAGTGAGGATGGCCTGAGCCAGAATTCTCTCCTCTCTGCCCACGACCTTCACCTTCCTTTTTTGTTTATTTGTGTTTTGTTTTGGGGCTACACCTGATGATACTCAGAAGATACTCCTGGCTCTGCACTCTGGAATTACTCCAGGTGGTGCTCGGGGGACCTATGCTGGGATCCAACCTGGGTCTATTGCGTGCAAGGCAAATACCCTGCCCACTGTACTATCACTCTGGCCACTGCTACCTTCAACTTCTTATTTTCCACCCTGGTATCAAACCTTAGCCCGAAACTCAGAGGAAGATGGGATTGAGGGGCCATGAGTCTACCATCTTCACAGGTCGCTAGCACCTGCAAGACTTTTTCTCACATCAACTCTTTTGTCTTGAATAGTTGCCTTCAAGTGCTGAATACCCAAACTTGAGTCCAGTAATGCTAGTCTTTATTTATTAGTGGAAGTCAAATATCACACTGCCAAACTGTCTTTCCAGAGTGGCTATGCCATTGTGAGTCCCCGGAAAGAGAATAGGAGCCTTCCTGTGGTTCTGCATTCTTACCAGCACAGGGAACAATTTTTCAGTGCCTCAAAAATACTTGCACATAAATGTCCATAGCCACTCCATTCAAAACTGGGAGGTACCCAAGATGGCCCTCAGTAAGTAAATAGAAAAATAAAATGGAGTCCTTCCAGACAGAAGACTTTAAGGCTTATTTAGGCTTAAGAAGGGAGTTCCATGCCATGGAAAGACATGAAGGAACCTTAAACACATGTTGCTCAGAGAAAGAAGCTGGTCTGAAAGGCCAGCATACCATAGGACTCCAACTCTAACGTAGTGTAGAAAAGACCTGACTCTGGAGGTAATTAGATAAGGTTGCCTGAGTTTGGCAGTGTTGACAGTGTGACTTACGCTGAGAAATATGTGCTTGTGTTACTGGACCCAAGTTCAAGTGCTAGCAACTTGAAGGCAAGTAGTCTAAAGACAACAGCTGATGTGAGGATAGAAGAGGGAAGGACAACTAGGAGGTACAGAGAGAATTTTTAGGACAGTGAGATTATTCTGTCTGACACTGCAAAGGGATGCACATATATGGCATCAACGGTGAATGTAAAACTATGTACTTAGGTTGATGATGACGTAGCAATGTAGGTTGGAGCACATGCCTGGCGTGCAAAGGCTTAGGTTCGATTCCTGGCACACATAGTTCTCTGCACATGCTGGCATGTCCCTGATACATAGCTGGTCCTGAGATGCATGAGACTGAGTAAATTGAGAAATAGTCATGGGGTACCCTGAGCACTGCTTGGGAGACCCTCTAAAAAGATATAGGGGACAGAGAGACATCTCAATGTCTAGACTGAGTGCTTTGCACACAGAAACCCTCAATTCAATTTCCATCACTGCATGGTTTCCCAAGCACTGCTAGGGGGGTCATTCCTACCACAGGAATGAACCAGTTGTAACTTCTGAATACTGTCGGCTGTTGTCCCCCCAAAAATAAAGAAGTGAATAAAAATAAAGTTTTGTGGAGTTCATGTCCAATTCAATCAGCTAATCAGTGGCTGAATAAATAGCAGTACTCCTACATAAAAATAAATAAAAATAAAGTTTAAGCATAAGTTATGTAAAGTTGACTTCTGTGATTTAGCTTATGCTGTTCAATTCTAAGGCAAACATTGGGGCAAGTAAAATTAAGATGTTTTATTGAACAGTAGGTAAAAATAAATGTTGTCCTCAGACTTGTATATATCAGACTTGAGTTACAGATAACAAATTAACCTCTCAAACTCTGTACCACTGATCAGAAACTTGAACATTTTTTTTTGCTCCACAGGACTTTACAGAAACATAACAAAGAATTTATAAAAGGCGGGGCTGGAGTGATAGCACAGTGGGTTGGAAGTTTGCCTTGCATGCGGCCGACCCGGGTTCAATTCCCAGCATCCCATATGGTCCCCTGAGCACCGCCAGAAGTAATTCCTGAGAGAATCGCCAGGGTGTGACCCAAAAAGCAAAAAAAAAATTATAAAAGGCACCACGGAGACAGCCATAGGATAGTTGAAATAGAAAGTAGAAGTGCTTTGAGAAAACCAAATTCTAGAACTTGACTTCTCTTGAGCACCTGAATACACTGTGACCATATAGAATGCCCCTTTTTATAATGTAGGATTACTGCTATTTATTCAGCCATTGATTAAGCTGCTTGAATTGGGCATGAACTCCACATTACTTTTTTATTCAGAATTTTAATTTTATTTGATTATTTTCCCCCCTTTTTATTGATTCACCATGAGATACAGTTACAAAGCTTTCATGTTTGGGCTTTGGTCATACAATCATCAAACACCCATCCCTTCACCAGTGTGTGCACATTTTCCACCACCAAAATCCCCGGTATTAGACCCCCCCTCGTTGCAACCTTTCCCCTGCCCGTGTAAGAGACAATTTTCCCCATACTCTCTCTCTACTTTGGTTACATTTGGTATTTTGACACCAGTCCCACCACCACTCAGGCCTGCCGAAAAGGAAATGCTAGACAATCTGTTTTGTATTGTCTGTTATGGATAGAATATAATGTCCAGGAAATTCTGTGTCATTCTCGTCTAAGAGCTTTAGTTTATAGCCAAGCTACTGGAAAACTGGGAACCTTGAGGGGGGAGAAGGCCCAGTCCCAATCCAAGTGGGCTTGGAGATCTCAGTCATGGGTTCTTACTTACCCCCATGCCACCAGCCCTAACTGCATCTTTTGATATCTTTTCAGATTTATGGGTCTCTGAAATAAGGCCAATCGATGAGCTTATATAGCTGAGCCAGAGGTGGTCTAAGCCGAAGGTGGTTTGTGGGTGTGGCTCCCACATACCTAACTTTTGGCCATTTAATTTCTTGGTATACTTGGCCCCAAGTTGTTGGGATCTGGCCGAAAGCACAGCAGCAATTTTGGGGTATCTGGAAGTCTGAAGACACCACCACGCTGCTGAAGCACTAGCCCCGCAGGTACAGGTTGACCAGCTGGTGTCACCATACCCCCTACGATGGGCATTTTTTTCCCTCTCAAAGTATAAATTATGTTCTTTTCCGTGGCAGGAGGTGGGGAGAGAAAACTCTTCCAGGGGAAAGAATACACATGTTATCTTTTATGAACAGACACAGATGTTTGTTAGCCCTTCTCTACTTACTCCACCTTCATCCTTCCCGTCCTTCCACTCACCTTCTTTACAAACCAGCAGAGCTCCGATAAGGCCTGAATTTATGTCTTTCACCAGGTTCACGTGAGAAAAATATGAGTAAGTGAGACATGGAGGATCAGAGGCCATTGGGCCATTCTCTTTCAGGACCTGCCACACATAGGTATGACTTTCACCAGGCCTGACATGATCATCTTCCTTCTCCTTTTGGCTGGTCTGATCCTCATATTCAGCACCTAGAGCAATAGAGGATAAAATTGTTCTTTCTACATCCATTGTCCACTCAAGGAAACAGACCAAGTTCATTGACACCAGTAGATTCTACACAACAACCTACATTTTCAGGTTAATTTGGAAGACTAAGTTAAAGCAGCAGTTTGGCATGGGGAAAGTCATGTATGGAAAGATACTTGGTTGAGGAGTTCTCCCTGAGACCTCCAGAGTCTCAGCAATAATGTCTCTTCCATTAGTGCTTTTTCTTACCCAAATCAAGTCAGTGCAATTCAAGAGTCACTGGGTAGGTACCTTGTCCCTGTCTCCTTAATTGCACTGCTAAGCGTCAGGGAAAGGAGGCGAACTCTTTGGTATTTTGGTTTTGATTTTTGTGCCATATCTGGCAGTGCCCCAGGCCTATTCCTGTCTTTGTGCTCAGGATTGACCTCTGGTGTTGCTCAGGGGCCCATATGTGCATTTGAACCGGGGGGTCGGCCCCATACAAGGCAAGCACCTTAACTTCTGTACTATGTTTCCAACCCCAGGATTTCTTTAAGAAACAGAAAACACATTTTAACTTATTTCTTCTCAGAGGAAACAGAGCCTTGGATCAGGGCAAAGTCTATAATGCAATGTAGTAACAGCCACTCATTCACATTCATGAGTCCTTACCGAGAAACTAAAGAGGGCCAGGACAGTAGAGCCGGTGGGCAGACAAGTAAACAAGTTTCCTATGCTTCAGGAATATGAATTAATATTATTATTAATATTATAGACATAATATTAATCCAGAACCATATATATTTCCAAATGTCTAAAAAACATTTCCCATTTAAATCCAATGTCATTAGTACGTCTAACAAGATTAACCATGATTCTCTGTGCCATCAAATACCAAGCAAGATTCAATTTGCTTTTTTTGGTATCCTTGTAGAGGTTCTCAAATGTTTGGCCTATTGGCTCCCTTTCTGAAAAATACTCAGCATCCCCTAGAAATCTAACTTCTTTAAGTGAAGAAGCATAAAACATTCCTCAATTGCATCCAAGGCTTCTCCTGATCCTCTGGATGGTTCTAACACCCGGGAGGGTGTTACTCACTCTGAGGAACTCTGCTTTTATATGTAGGTTGTCCAAGCCAGAATGCAATCAAGGGCCACAACGGAATTGAATTGTTTTGTTGCGGCCTCTTCATCTTTAGTACTGTTAATTTTTGTTCTTTTTTTTTTCTTTTTTCCCACACTCTATCAGCTGTGGGAGACTATGCAGTACTGAGAGTCAAACCTGAGCCTCCTGCATGTCAACTATGCACTCAGGACTTTGAACTATCACTCTGGCCCCAGAAGTCTCTATTTTTAATGATATTAATCCACTGTGATGCCTGGTTTATGAGGAAACCCCATATTATTGCTTTGATGGATTGATTGCTTTTCCTGAGGTTGTTCACTCTCCTTCTCTGTATCCTATATGTTCCTTCAACTGGAAGTTGAAGAGACTGGTCAGATTCGAGTTCAATAGTGCTTTTAATAAACTCTATATGAGACATTATGCCAAGTTCCTGAGACCACGCCACCCATGGTAGATAGATAATACCTGGCTGTGTGGAGTGATGTTAGATATGATTCCTGGACTATCCTGATACCTGAATTCTAAACTGAGCATCTTCCTGGGATCCAAAAGAAGACTTCACCATACAAATGTTCATGTCCACATTAACCATTGACCTAAGGGCTTAATGCCACTGAATTGTTTCACCATCACCCCCGGAAACTCAGATCACATCATGGTGCATAACTTAGTGTGCATCTCTAGCCCAGGATACTTTTTAAGAGTGGTTAATATCTTTAAATTCTTAAGATAGCTCCAGACTATCTAGCCGGAGCCCTTAATGCCTTATGGGCTTCTGCAATGTCCCCTCCCTATTTTGACCACTTTCAGGCTCTTTGTTTCAGGCTTATCTTTTCATTTTCCTTTCTCAGAACTGGAACAAGTTATTTCTCCCAGGGGCCCTGGTTCTATTCAGTGCAAAAAAAAATATTGAAGAAAAAACATGGGCACTCCACTGCTGGCTGTTAATAAAGACTCATTGCTTCCGGTCATTTCAGTAGAACAGAGTTAAAGGCACCATCTCTACCAACTCTCCAAGCTTCACAGGCTCACAATGTTCTCTAGAGTTCCAACTCAGCTTGGCTGTTCAGAGCACATCATTTTGAGACCCTCTTATCCCACTGTGGCAATCTGTCTGAGAGAGGGCCTCTCCCTCAGAATAGCACAGATCCTTGCTAGGACTCCCACCAGTCCAGGCTCATCCCTGATGTGCAGACGTGAACCCTCTTCAAAGTATAGGGGTACCACTTGCAGCAGGCATGAGGGACAGTTGAATTCAACAGTTCTTGTGTCTGGTAGACCCTGGAGCCACTCAGAGACTCCCTGCCTAGCCCAGGGAGTGGACTCAGTGATTTGGGATCTGTGAATGGCTTGAGATAAAATTCCAGACAGTTGATAGTTTGGGACATGGAATTAGGGGATCATAGAGGGGCACAGGGTAGGTTTAAACTGCATTACAATGCTTAATTTCTTAAAATGAAGCAAAGATGAAGATTGGCAAAGGCAGGTGATAGCATGCATTTGTGTACAATATTATTTCCTATGTCTTTTTGGGCGATGGAGGATGTCATTCAGGCCATAGTTGGAGATGTTCAGGAGTTATTCCTGGCTCTTCTCACAAGTGAGCCCTAATGGGACCATATATGGTGCTGGGGTTAGAATTGGGATGAGTGCGCCATAAGTAAGGTCATTGTCTTAACCCTTGTACTAGATCTCTGGCTCTCCTGTGACTTTTTGTTGTTTGTTTAAGTCACTTCATTAGGAGAAGAATATCTGTTTTCTTATGACTCAGGTTGGGAAAAGTCTGATGAACAGCCAAGAAAATTAGTCACATGGCAATGGCCCAGGAAGGGGGAGGGGTACTAAAGGGGAAGAACAATGCAGGAACTCAGTGTGACATCACAGTGTGTCTGTGTGATTTCTTTGTCAGCTCTACTCCAATAGGTTAATAACAAAATGAGAACTCATTTTGAAACAGGGAAAAGACTTGCTCTCCATCAGATGCTTTATAAAAGCAGATCAGAAAAATAAGGGGAGCAGCAGAAGCAATGATGCTCAATATTATCACAGAGTGAGACCACTTCCTGGGGTCCTGGGCTGGATCAGAAGATTGGAAGCCTATGAGTCAGATACACATCACATATATGTGGCTTGTTATCAAAACCACAATCAGACAAGCATTGAGATAAAGTGGATGTGTTTGAGAAATGGGGAAGTCCATTTTCTCAGACTTCATCCCACTGAAGGGACAATATTTCCTCTCTCTGCTGCTGTAACTACAGAATTGCAGGATCCTGGGGCCACAGCAATTGTACAGTGAGAAGGACATTTGCCTTGCACATGGCCAACCCAGATTCGATCCCCGGCATCCCATATGGTCCCCCAGTACCACCAGGAGTAGTTTCTGAGTGCAGAGTTGGGAGAGTAACCCTTGAGCATTGCTGAGTGTGACCCCCTCCAAAAAATTGCAGAATTCCTGGCCTAAGTAAAAAGCCCCTTGCTTGGTTCCAAAATCTCCCAACTAGCTGTGCTTTGTGGAAATAGTTCATTGAGCTCCAGCCAGAACCTGCAATGACTTATCCTCCATGATGCCTGGCTTCTCATGTCACTGTTCTCTGACCCAAGTTTTCCCTAGTTTCAAGAACACAACCCAGTAAGTGAAGGTCTTTGTATTTCAGCATGAGAAGTGGCTCAAGAGAGCAGAAGCATAGCTTAGCTACACAGCCTATGTCATGTGCTCCATGGCCTGGGTACTGGTGGTCTCTGCCCGCCATGACCCATCACGCCTATCCAAGGCCCAGCACCTGCTCCAGGCCCTTTCTACGCTGTGGGAGAAGGTGAGAGAAATGACTAGAGTATGGGACCCTGTTTCATGAGTTCAGTTAGCAATTCTGCTAGTTGAGTATCACCATATGGTGGCACCTAGATTCAGGAATTAGGGGATGAAACCAGTGAAGAGATAGGTGCTGAAAATTGTATACCGAAAACTCAACTAAGGATAACTTTGTAAATAGTGATGCTTACATAAGACATTTTTAAAAATTAAATTGGGGAAAGGAGAAGGGGAAAGATCTGAAAAGTTGAAGTCTAAGGAAGGAACAGTAGAATTTCCTTTCCCTCTGTCCCAGTATTCTTGGTCCTCTGAAGGCAGATGAAATAGAACTGTTGGGATGGGTGGGCATGCTCCCAAAGGAGAAATTGGGGCACTCCACAAACTTAGGGGCTTGGAATAATGACAAGGTTCTTGACTTTCTAACAGGGTCTTCTACTAGCTCCCCAAAGGAATGCCTGACCCGGCTGCCTCCAGAAGAGCCCCATGGCATGGGTCATACAGACAACAGCACACCTTCTCCTCCCACCTCTCCAGAACTGAAACTTTCCACAAATGTTCAGGGTGGAGACACTGTCTGTGGCCCAGAAAGAGCCACGAGGGAGCTCAGGTGGAGTGAGGCATCCAAAGTAGAGTGCTTCCTTTCCAGGAAGGGGCTAGTCCCGCCTCGAAGAACGTGGCCAGCTGGAATGTGAGATAAGTCGCACCAGGAGCCACAGCTTCAGCATCCACTCAGTCACATATCAGGGGAGCGATGGGAAGTCTGCCTATTGAGACAGGGCAAGCCCCACTATGGCAGCAGCCACATTAGGAAGAGTAAAAATCCACAGGAAAAATGAACTTTATTAATGTAGTGTAGCTAAGCAGATTGTCCCAGCCATCATCATTTCAGCATGGAGTCAAGATCAAGCATGAATGGGAAAGATCTTTGAAACCTAGAGTGCATTTTCCTACGTGTCTCAGCAAGGACTAAGTGCATTTTAAAGGCTCAAAAGCCCTGAGTGGTTCAACCACGTTGGTCACTCTAACATGTTAATCTTCACATGTATTATAGCTTTAAATTTTTGATTTCTTGGAAGTGGAAAGATA